AGGGGCGGAGAGCACAGGGCAGGCCACCTACTTGTGCTCATCATTCAAGATGTGAACTTTAAAGAATCGAGGCTGGACTTCTTCAGGCTTGTTGTCAGGCGGAAGGGCTTCGGGAGCTGGGAGCCACATGTTGAACTCTGCCAGCCAATTCTGAAGAGTATTAACCTATTAGAAAGCCAAGTCCAAAAAGAGAGTTTTAAGGAACCAGCTGAGAGCTGGGCTCATTACCCGTAAAGGCATTAACCTGAACTCTTCAGAGGGTAACTGACTGGAGCCTCCCAAGTAACTCTTACCGGCACAATGGCAAGGACTGTTTTGGCTGGCGTGTGGCGGAAAAGGACATCGATGAAGGAGATCACTTGCAAAGTTTTTCCCAAACCCATGCTGTGGGCCAGGATACAGCCAAAGCCACTACTGGTCTTAAACCTCTCCAGCGACTCCACTAGATTATCATACAGGAACCGGATCCCGCCAATCTGCCAAGCAGCAAACACAGACAGATGTCAGAAGGGTTGGCAAAGACCAGGGCTCTAGTTCCACTCATGTTAGAATTAGCCAGACTTAGAAATATGCAGGTGTTATAACAGACAACAGGTGTCAAAGGCTACAGAAGTGCCCCTGCACCCTGACTGGTCTGTTGGATGGTGGTGATCTTCTTGAGAAATCACCCAGTGAAGTGTCCCATCCGCCATCCGATGTAGGAGTCAGCAGTGCATTTATGACAGGGACCTTCATTTGGCCTGGCTGTCCTCAGCCTTAGGGAGCTCACCCCCTAGAGGTGGCTCGGTCCACGAGGAGCAGTTCTTGTTGTTAGAGCTCTGAAGTTGAGTCAACCTTTGTGGTTATAGACCTTTTACTCTTGGTCTTGGTCTGAATCAATACAAACTGCCCTGCTCCCTCTGTCAGAGTCCCTACAACTTCTGATTCTTACATCTCTTCTGGACCCATACTTTGCCAGTCAAAGTACTGCTCTCCAAAATGAACCTCAGTCTTACCGGTCCCATAGGAAGAGGCTCAAGATTATTATGAAAACAGACCCAGCATCTCCTACACAGCAAGGAACACTGAGGCTCATTGCTTCCCTTTCTCCATCCCTTTCTATTCATTGTGAATCCTGAAGCATGCGCTGCCTTAGGAGGAAAGATCAGGCCTTTCCAATAGCTGCTCTTGGCGCCAGACAAGTATTCTACAGGCTTCACTGTGGATAACCACCAGCAGGCGACGTCCACCGCAAAGAAACAGAAAGAAGAGGAGGAGAGCCAAGACTCGCTATACCTGATGAGGTTTCACGGCCCGTGCCAACTGTGGGGCCAGGAAGACATTCTCCTCCTCTGGAGGGTGGTTCAGGTTGACAAGGACTCGCCCAAGAGCATCGCGCTGGTTTAACACGTCATTCACATGGGTGCCGCCCTTCTCCTCTTCCTCGTCTTCCTCACTGACAGACTCACTGCTGTCCACAATATGCAGAGTGTCCTCCTCTCCAGAGCTCAGCTCAATCACCTCTGAGACACAAAAACCAAACCAAAACAAAAACAGAAGCCCAGGGTGTGGAGATGATTTACTACACCGTATCAGAACAGAAGAGCACAAAAACCCAGCTAGAACTTAATCTATCATTTAAAACATTATTTTGATCCTTTATTATTTCTCTCTTTTAGCTTCAAGTTAAGACAAGGGGGAAACTTATATGTACAAATGAAATTCAAATACATTTGTCAAAACCAGTCCCCAAATTGAATGAGGAAAGACTGAATTCTTTTAAAGGTACTGCCCATCTCTCAGGATGAGCACTGGGCCAGGAGGTAGGGGAGGCACCTCTGGTTTGACCTTACCATCTCTACTGCTTTTCTCATCCTCACTGCCACTGCTACTGTCCAAACAAATGATTTCTTGGGCCAAGACTCGAGGAGGCAGCTGGGGACCATCACTTGCTCTTAAGACAATTTCTTCTAGGAAAAGAAAGAAAGAGGGGGTTGTCAAAACACACTGAGCTCAAACGTATTTCCCCAAGTGATTCTCCACCCCACCTCTCTGCTGCTGTCATGGAGAGAGTGAGTATCTGCTGGGAAGAGCAGCAGAGGGCAACCATTCGAACAATCTCAGCCTTCTCTCCAGATTCCCTCTATGGTTCTCATGTCATGCTGTCCCCCTGACCACGGGAACAAAGTTTTGGGAAAAAGTCTAAATGAAATAAATATGAAGAGTATATTTTTATCCACCTTAACTTCTTAAATGAGATTCTTCTGATTGTGTGCTTGTGAGGAGCTGAGTGGCTTCCAAGTAATTTCAGACATTTAACCATCTTATTCCTGATGGACCCTGAGCACTATGGGTACCAAAGGCTTCTCCACGGAGCACAGGATCTTTCCTGCCCTCTCCTTACCGGGGAGAAACTCCAGGGGAACGGTGGGAATGGGAGCGGCATAATCTTTCCTCTGCTGTTCCAGGCGCTTCCTTCTTTCCAACTCTTCCTGCTGTGCTGCTTTGGTAACTGGCTCCAACTGATCCTCCCGGAGAAGCTTTCTAAATATTAAAACAAAGAGAGCACGAATTCACTTAGGATGTGGGCAATGTGATGGCACATTAAAGAGGGAACTGACACTGCTAGCTTCACTGAGTGGGAAGGAGGAAGCCGCATTGGCCCTACAACACCTAAGTAGTGGGTGGGGGGGAAAGAGGAAGAGGGAGTTGGCCCCACAGCGCAGCGGTTAGGAACTGTGCAAAGGAAGCAAGATCCTATGAGGCCAGCTGTGGTTCAAATTCCAGCCCCAGAGACAACACAATGAGCACATGCTGGTGGGTACCCAAGATCCTGATGGGATGAAGAAACAGGAAAAGGGGCTGCAGTGTGACCAGGCTCTCAGGCACGTGAACAGACCCTCTAGGATAAAACAAGTAAGAGACTTCAAGCTCAGGTAGTTCTGGGCTAACGTACTTTCCATATTATTTAACTTCCTGACAAAAGACGCCCTATGAACTGGTTTTCTGCACATAACAGATCAAGAGTAAAATAGAGTAATACATAATTCATAAAGCTGAAAAGCAGTATTAAAAATAGAGTTGGGCTCTTGGTGGTGCAGGGGTGCTGCACTGCTTAAGCGAAGCTAGATCCATCTGGAGGATCACAGTTCAGCTCTCTGGTTGACCTGTACGTGCCAGGCATGCGTGCCCGTGACCCTGGCTGGCTGGGAAGGTCAGAGAGGGTTTACTGTGCAAGATCCTGCGGAAGGTGCTTGGCTCTGCCTCTCTGATTTAAAAAAAAAAAAAAAGAGTGTTATGTGATAAAGTGATAAAGTAACGTTATAGGAATTCCCAATTTAGACTAATACTTTCAAAATGTAAGTTTTAAATGTTTTTGTACAATTTAATAAATAATCTTTTGATGACTGCAGACATGTAAGACTGGCTATATTCAGAAACAACACAGTCACGGTGGTTTTCCAGATTGGTGTATCATCCTCCAAAACTACAGGGCGTTACTTATGTATACTGCTATCGAACCTGTAAGACAGCATTTATGCATCCATCATTTTCAGGACTGTTGGTAACTTGGGCATATTTCCCCCAAATAACCTTGCTTCCTTGTGTCACAAGGCCCAACTCACTCATGTTCACCTCAATGACAGTACCTTTGGTGATAACACCCAAAGCTGTATATTTGGGGATGAGGGTCTTCTTTACACCAAGTATTGGCAGGTGAAAGGTGGCTTTCGGTTCAGGATGTGTTACATGGGCCTTCTTGAAACGTAAGCTCATTGGCCTAATGAATCTTTCATACTTAGGTGGTTTTCTAGTAAAGCATCTCCAACAAAATAGACTTTGGTAACCATCCTCTTCCATGTCTTCTTTCTCTTTCTTATTCGAATAACTTTTAATACTTCTGTTTCCCCCTGGGCTCAAACTTTGGGTGGAGGGACTTCCCATTTTCCCACTTTCTCTTTCCATTTTTGTTTAATTATATTGGAAAGTACTTTAGCTCGGGACTGCCCTTCTCTATCCAACAGATAGGCAGGCCCTGCTCCCTGTGGAATGTTTCGTCACTCTTGTTTGGTGTTCCTCTTTTCATGTATCTTGATAGTCTTTTTCATTTGTATTTTCTCAGCATGGCGCTGTTTGTGATAGAGCTTAGCCTTCAGACCAATCGTCTTTTTTGCCTTCTTGGAACGTTCATGAGCCTCTAGACTTTCCTTCTTTCTCTTTTTCTCATGGTAATCCAAATGGTATCCATAGCGTTTACGATGTAATTCAATATATTCGTTCTGTGGCATGGTGATGATTGCAGAGTCACTGGGAACAGCCCCCCGGATGCAAAGAAATGGTCAACTTTTAGGACTCAGAGACTCACAAGCAGACCCAGCAAAGTCCAGAATGGGAAAGTCAAATTGTTATTATTATTTTTTTTAAAGTGGGAGCAGAAGCAGAAAAAGATCTCTTTTCAATGGCACAAATTGTTATTTGGTAGAAGACAGTACTGTTGGGAATGTGGATAGTTAAGGAAGTTCACACATTTGTTCATCTTTTAGTTCAAGAAAGACGACCTGCTTTGGGTCTGACAGGGTCCCATCATCTGAAATTGAGTTTGAAGATGAGAACTCAACTCTTTCTACCTCTCTCTATTCGAGATACAAAGAAAAATGAAGGAAGAAACAAGAAGTCCCACTCAGTCTATCTCTGGGCTGCCGCTGAGGGCCTCTCCAGAGGTGGCCAGGGCCCTGCGCATCCTCCCCGCATCTCTGCTAGCCCAGGCCCAGGCCCAGGCCCAGTGGTCCTGAACTGCACCCTGACTGTAACCAGAGGCACGCAGTTGGCACTTTCTCCTTGAGAGAGGACTCTCCTGCCCAAGCCAGTCCTCCTCCCTCTGCCTCTGCTGGCCTTCTCCTCTAACCCAGAGCACAGCTCACCGTATGTTTCGCCTCATGTGGGAGGGCTTCTGGGCTCTCTTCTTTTTGGGGTCCTCAGAAGCCAGGTTCTTGCCTCGGTGATGCCTAAGCTGCTCAGAAGGCTCAGACTGAGATGAGGTAGTTGAAGTGCACCGTGGCGGCCGCTGCCCATCTTCCCCCAGCTGGGCATGCTCAGTGCCACACATGCCTTCTAAGGATGGGTCTGAAAAAACAAAGGGAGAGGTGGCTTTATTGGAGGGTAATGTGTTTTGATGCCAGATATACCTGGGTTCAAGTCTCCTACTCAGAAACTCGCTAGCTGGTAACCTAAGCAAGTTACTTCTAGCTCTCAGACCATCAATGTTCTTAACCATAAAATAAGGTTAGTTATGTCCGTATTTCAGAGCTGCTGTGAACACTGAAAGAGGGTGCAGGC